ATCTTAGTACCAAGAAAATCGAGACTTAATTTTTGATAACACAAAGAGTAAATAAAATGCTACTTGCCACAGCCAGCCCAACCAGCTTGTAAAAAGACTTGTTTACTTCTTTTTCTGTTCTTTTTAGGCAGTTGTTTGTGTTTGTTTCTGATACATTAGAAATTTCCCACGATAGACCAGAGAAAACTAGGTACCTAAATATTACAATTGTAAATATCACGGATTGTGGGCATGTGGGCATTGGTAGCGAAATTGCTTTGGTATGGATGTGGCATTATGAAAAGGTATACGGTCATTTTCAATTCATTATTTGGATAAAGAGAGTCACATTGGATTGCCATTGTAGATGTATGAATACCAAATGTTATTTTCGGTTCTTACTTGTAACAGAAACAAAAGCAAGACTAAGGGACTCCTTTAGACCGCAAATTAATATTTCTTCAAAATTTATTCAAATAATTCCAACTTTTCAGAAGTATGGCTATAAATGGCGAATTACCATATATGCCCTATATCATATATCTGCTACGTTACTCCCCCTCCACCCCATCTAACTAACACCTTTTGCAGTTGTTTTTATTTCCGCTTCAGAGAGCTGTCTTTTATCGTTGCCTCCAACACTGTTTTAGTTGTGTGTCTGTCTGTTCGTACCGTACGCATCAATTTTAGTGATTACAATTTTAGAATTTAAGCCTCAAAGTTAGAGAAGGTCGTTAAGTGCTCTCTTGTATCCTCAAGTTCCTAAATCCCACCCCGTTTGGCCAAATTTGATTATTTGAGTTAGTAAATTTGTATTTCTTTACCTAGCTGTGCACCAAGTGCAGTATTGTCGACTGTATTTCTATAGACTTTTTCCCCCATCCCTATTACAATAGCCAGTGTGGTAAGTTTGGGGATATGAGGAGAACACTGAACTGCCAACGTTAATCATAAAAGGCGTTTATCTTAGCCAAACAAGAAATAGTGCAGCAATGTAATCGTTGCTGGATGTCTTTTAGAGCTCTTTACGTATTGTAAATGTCAGATGGGCGTTTGTTGCAGATAGTACCGACCATATTTGACCGTTATTTTGCCATCACAGGGGATGTAAAGTTTTACATTTTTGACTAATATTGATTTCAGTTGTGGAAATAACGAAATAGTTTGATTCAGCATTAACTATATCAACCTTGTCGTCACAATATGCTCAGATCTTGATTAACCCTTTTGTTACATTCCATGATGTGACACCCTCCCCTTGCTAGTTACTGGTGTTTGCCCAAGTTCGTAACAGAACCTTCCTTGCGTTCGGTCGGATATCTGCACAATTGCGTTTTAGTCAGTTCATTGTGTGCTAACGTTTAAGAATACTTTAGAAAATAGAGAAAAAGTGTGCTGTTATAGATGGTAGTACTACCCACGTGTAAGCAATATTTTTGCCGTATGTCTCAAACGTGTAGTGGTCGCCTATTTATTTTTAAGCCATGTATGTATTTAAGTGTGTATGGTAATGAACAATGAACAAACATGACCCATTTTCTTCATGCTCTAACTCTTTTTAAGTTTCATACAAATTAACTAATTAAATCAAATTAAATCAAGGCAACAAATTAAATCCAAAAAAATCTTTGTTTTCTTCCTCCAGCTAATCTTCAAAGATTGATATTCAGGCGCCTTCCAAAAAGTAGATAAAGCTGTAAAACTTTATTTACTCTACAACTTTAGTGACATTTTCATATTACATTTCAAGGAATCAGTAACGAAAATCTGACTGTGGCCCGAGTTAACAGTTCCTACATAGTCTGGAGCTGTCTGTGACAATCAAAGGACAACTAATGACTACACATTCCCCAGAACGTTTGTAAAAGCTCAATAAATATAGAGCCAAGAACAGAGCCTTGAGGAACACTATAAGGATCCGTAGCCATCCCTCTTTTAAAAAGACTCAAAAGCTTGGTTCCCACTAGGCGACTAAGTGCGTTCAAGTGCGTTCATCTCTAATCCTTTAATTTAATTAAAGATAACAGATAAACTACCGAGGTATTCCCAATTGCAAAACATCAATAGCTAGCTGTGTGAAGACAAGCCAAAATGTCTAGATGTCGCTTTCGGACATGCATTCAAACACTAAGATAAATAATCATTTTGGCTCTTTTATCACTTATGAATTATGCAATTGTAAGATGTTGTAACCCTCTCTTGAAAATTATGTAAAGGCCATTGTTAGCCACACTATCCGATCAAGGATCGCAACAGGATCGCAACTTAGGTTCCCTTGCATTTTCGTGACACAAATTTCGCAATTCTTTTACGTGTACATTGTAGGTGTTCTATGCTTTCAGTTTATGGCCTCTCGTTAGTCATTTCAAGTAATCCTGATTGTATAGCTCTTTTCAAATTTACAGGTTAGCAGAAATCTGTTAATTGGCAATGTTTTATTGACCACAAGGTGCTAACAGTCACGAAATCGATTTCATGCGTTGCTACGATTGAAATTGCCTTATTTTGGCTTTACATTTGCATCTTATTTGTTGGTTGATAAATGAAACATTCCTTTAATGTTTCGTCTTCTTTTATGTTTTAAACGCTCAGATCAAAAATTTTTGATCTTGGCGTTTAACTTTTTTGAGCGTTCAAGTGCGTTCATCTCCTCCAAGTTAAACGCCCGAAGCATTCCCACTTGGCATTTAACTTGAACGCTCAGAGATGAACGCACTTGAACGCACTTAGTCGCCTAGTGGGAACCAAGCTTAACGATCTGTGCCCAGTGCTATAAGGTTTATTGAAGCTTCCATTTTGAAAAGATTTTCTCGTTAACTGAGCCACATACTCTTGATAAGTGCAGGGAGATTGCTCTACATAGTTCGCTGCTGGACCCACTTTTTGTGCTTGTAAATAACATTTAATCAAACCACAGAGACAACGATTCAATCAGATAACTATGCAGTTAAAAACGTGGTCGAAAACAAACAGTTATTGAATTCGTTGCCATATGTCATTGATAGCTTGAATTCCTTGCTGATGCAGCAATACATTTGTAATGATTCAAAGTTTGTTGCATTGGATAATCTTCAATCGTTGTTCACAGACACACACTTATTATGAGACAAGAAACAGCTGATAAGGAACTCGGAACTTTGGCTGCATACCATTAGCAAAGAAACTTTCAGTTCTGTCTCAGAAAAGTTAGGGAAACTCTTTTAATTCTTTGATGGAAAGAATATTCTTACTTGTAACTTTCAAACAATAGTTTTCCTGTATAACCAAGCATAGGGGGAAAATGCGTGACGTTGAACGTAACAATCAGAACGAGGCAATATGAAAGCGAGGACATTCCTAGAAAGAAATGTTTTTATTTTAGACGGAAAGCAATTTGGTAGTATTTATGGCATGCTTGGTAGAAGAAAACGCATTTACCTCTCTTGTTTGCAATACCGAATCAGCTAATGGTAAATTTTTATCTTTCACGAAAGTGGAAAAGGGTACTCTAGTAATCAGGTTGGTGCTCTCAATTCAATGTAAATTTTTCTTGTTAAATCATATATATATAAAGGGAAGTAAAAACAGGCAAAATTTGTGGCTCTATGTTTTACAGATACTTTTCGGTCCACAAACTATCACAGGGTTGCTCCATTTTCCAAAAACTGGTGCATATGGAGCAGAATTTTCAGAAGCGAAGCAAATATTATGATATTACCTTGCCGAAATTAAATACTTTAGATAGCAAGGTTAACTTTTTGTAGAAGACTATTATACCGCCTGTTTTAACAGGATTGGACTGCCTTAATTTTTCTGACATAGGCCTGGGGGAAAATTATTTTTTAGGCATGGTGCACCCACATAAATTTTTCTTTGTTAGCTATGCTATGAAGTTTTGCTTTTATTGTCTCTATCTCAGTGCCACAGATGGAATTCGACTTTGGCAGATAGAGCTGTGTGATGATGACTTGAAAAGCTATGTATGTGTTCACACTGCATTCTCTGGTGATTTTTCCTTGATGACATTTTTCTAAGATTTTGATTTATATAAATTTTTCTAAATGCAAGTTTATGTTACAAGACTTCAAGGTTGCGGTGCTTAAATGAAAAGTCAACCTAGGGGTTGTTTTGTTCTTGTTGCTTTCTTTTATTTGCGATGCAGCCATTATTTGTGAGGATGTACCACTGATGTTTGTGAGGATGAAAAAAGAATAATTATCCTTTGTTTTTGACTTCATTTTGTCAGAGGGACAATTAAATCCCAGCTTCCCTGAGCAACTGTTTTCGGTTCATGGTTTAGTTTTTTGTGATTGAAAATTTCCCACAGATCTTGTACACTCTAATGAAATTTTTTGTGTGCACTCCATGAAGGGAATCTGACTAACAGCCAACCATAATTTGTTTGCTATGCTATTTTCTCACCCTTATGTGGTGGTGTTGCTATTATGGTATGTTACATTGAAGCAGTGCACCTGGATAATGTGACTCGGTCAATTTAACTAGCAGTTACCTCCAATAAGTCTAGAAATAAATTTAAAGTAAAAGCTTTTCTAAAGTATTATTCTTTCATCTTTTGATAGAGCTCTGCAGCTGGATTAGACTCTGAAGAAAAATACCTCGATATTATCAAGTTAGTTGATAAATGTAGTGCATTTTCTATTAAACTATTTTGTTACTTTGAATTGAATGTTTTCAGATCTTGTTGACCTTTCAAGAAGTTTCTAACCTTTCATCACAGCATCCTTTTTCTGAACAACTTTACAGAAGCCAAAATGTTTGCAAGGATCTGCAAAGCATTTATGGCTTGCTTGCAATTGATATATCAGGTTACGTCATTCGTGAGCAAAAATATGGCACTGCCTGGAGCATAAATGGAGACAATGCACCAAAATTTTTGCACCAAAGTCTTTAATTTTTCATACTTCATTTTAATTGATGTTATTATATTTTTAGAGAGTAATATGAATTGAATTGCATGCTTGCTTTGGTCTTTGTTTCGGCTCTATTTGAATGGAGCTTTATGCTAGCTTCTCACCAGACATCTTTTCCTTCTACAGGTGACCTTTCAAAAAACAGCCAGCTTGCTAATAGAATCTTCCCTTTTTAGAGAGTCATTCCAGAAGTCTGATGTCAACATTTCTGTCCTACCACAAAGGATGGTGCTCTATTTTGGCAGCAAACCAGGCAGCATTTCATTGGATTTATTTGAAGCTGCTTGCGAACAGAAAAAATTTGGCTTACAGGAACTTTTGTTTAAGCTAGCAGACAACATTAAGACTCTTGAGAGACAGCTATCAGGTAAAATATTTGAATGTATCAACAGCAAAAACCTAGCCACACTCCTACCATCCCATATTTTGCAGCCCCTTTGCCAGAGTCCTTGATAGTATAACAGATAGTAATGTAGCATTTCCAGCCCTCAATTAATTTTCAGATTAATTCAGAATCCAATGCAGTCTTCTTCTTCAGGGGTTTTGGCATATTGGACAATCTTTCTTGTTCCTTCTCACTCCAGCAATGCTATCCCACCCCTATCACCAAATGCACCAAAAGTACTAGCATTCAGGAAAGAAATTGGAAATGAAGGACTTAAATTGATGGGTGTTCCAAATAACTTTCAAGCAATGAACCATTAAGAATCTTATAATTTTTAAAAATTATTAATTAAAATTTCATACTCTCCCCAGTATGAAATACCTGGAGAGTGGCAAGATCAGGACTTAAAATAGCCTTTTTACTTACAAGATTTGCCAAAATAGATGTAGGATAGGATGAGACCCCAATTGTAAAATTCTGATTATTTCATATTTCTTTTCAGTAAAGCATGCTCAAATTTATTCATCTGAATAATTTGTTTACATTCTGTATTTTTTCTTTTTCTCAGAGGCTTCCCAGAAACTAAAACAGGTAGAAGATGCAAATAAGGTAAAAAGGAAATATTTGCCACTTGTTTGTGCTAATTATTTTAAAGATTTTTCATTGCATTTTGATATTTTTTATTTATGATTGTCCCTATGACTCACGAATCAAACACTTAAAAAAGTTAAATTTTGACTTTTCTATAATTGTTGGCTCTTAAAATATTCATTTTATGATAAAAGGCATATTTTTAGCATGAAATGTACATTTATTTTTAGATTTATCATTTGAATGTTTACATGTTTGCTTTAAACTTTTTCACAATTTTTAGATGGAGAGTCCACAGTCAAGTCCTTTCAAAGGTTATTTGTATTTTATTTTTTCATGCACAATTAAGACATATTCTCAGATTTTTGATCCAACCACCCCTTTTGCTGATAAAAGAACAAAAGTTTAATTTTTCAACACACATTCCAATGTAGCATTTTCCTTTGTTTAGATGTTGTTATATGTTAATATATGATCATAAATATAGCTTCAACAAGAAAAAGACTGCGTATGTGTGGTTTCTTTAAGCAAAAAGGAATATTTTTATTTTTTCAAGGAAGCAAAAGGTAATTATATAATTTTTAAATTCATTTCTGTTTGTTTAAATCTTATTTTGTTTTCCATGATCCATAGCAGATTCAGGTACAAAAAGATTGAAAACAGTCCCAAAACCAAGGCAGTTAAAAGGAAGTAGTGTGATCAATCCTGGGAGCAAAAGGTTTGTTCCAAAACTAGCTGGTATTGCATTATAAAAACAAAGTTAGCAGTTAAGCATTTGGTAGAATAACAAATATGCTTCTTCAAATTGCTTAATTTGAATATCACATGGAAAGGCAGAAACACAGCTTCCTAAATAATTTCAATCTTAAATTTTACAGAGTGTAAACTTTGGATATAAATTTTCTATCCACTTTTGTCATTGTCAGACTGATTGAGACATCTAGTGCCTTCAGGGCTTTTATATCATTGGTACAAAGACTTTTGTCTGTGGCTTTGGAGTACCAGTACTGCTTTTTGTTAGTGGCTGAGCATATGAAATCTTTTATTCATGTCAAGAAAATATCACTTTCTTGACCAAAAAACATGTTGAGAGGATTATCAAAGCTAGAAAAGTTTCCTTTTATAAAATAATATAGCCATATATGTTTATTTTTTAGAAAAGTGAGTTAAAAGTTGAATCTCTTTTTGTAGCTGAGATAGTTTTGACAGCAGTGTATGCTGTTCTTGTTGAGGCAATAATTCTCATTCCTCTAATGGGACCAATACTACAAGCTTTATTTGCATGTGTAAAAGGTGCCAGGTGTTCCATCTGTCAGGTTTGACATGTAGCTATGTAGTTTGTTATTTGTTCTGTCTGATATTCCTCTACAGAAAGAAAGCTGCACAGGGTGTCCTGTTTGAGTGATACTGGTCACTACTTCCTTTGCAAAGATCATATGGTATAAAATTGTGCCATTATGCTGATACAAACATAACATTTTGTGTATACATTAAATTTGATATTGTAAGGTGAAATGGGTCATTGTGTCATTATTGGTATTGTTTTATGTAAAAATCTGTTTTTGATTTTACAAGGCATAATTTCAGCAGTAGTTAAAAAGGCTAAATTGCTACATCCAGTGTTTATTTATCTCTTTCTAGTATCCATCTTCAGGGCCATATCAACTTATTGATAACACAACTCTGTTTTTATAGAATGATGAGAAAAAGCTTTTCCCAAAAATCACATTAACCCAGAAAGCAGCCTAAACACACTTTTGGATTCAAAATCAAACTGATTATTGAAAACAAAGTTTCAGCCTTTCTTGTATGTTATTTTTGGAAGTGTTTTGTTCAAACTACTGATTAGAAGGTTATTCATTACAATTCACTCTGGTTTCACAGAATCAACTCTAGATAAATTGCCCTGTTTTTAAATTTCTTTCTGCAGATTGAGATAAGTAGCAAAATCTTTTGTGCTGTCTTTGATATTTCTATAGAAGTATGTCGAGTTGCAATAAGAATAGGTGTTTTAGAGGCTTAAGCCATAGCAAGCAAGCACTTTATCTGTATGTTCTTTCAGCTGAATGGTAATGTCTTTGAGCTTTTGTAGGATATCTTCATTCAGCTCTAATGTAGAGACAACTTCAACTTTACCATCATTGAAGTTGACTGGAACTGAAAACACAAGTCCTTCAGGTATGTCATACCATCCCTTAGAGGCAAGTGCAACAGAGTATATTTGATCAAGTTTGGAGCCATTGTAAAGGTCATAAAGCTGGTCAAGAATGGCTGCTGCAACTGAAATGGCTGATCCAGTACCTCTTAGTTTGTTCTGATCTATTTGTTTCTGTAGTGATAATTCTTCTAACTGCTTTAAAAGCCACTTCTCATCATGAACCATTTCTTTTGTATCATGTGAGAAACCATTGATATGTGGTCCCCAAATGGCTCCATCATACCCAACAACTCTTGACTGACTTACATCAATGATTTGCTGATAGTGAGGCTGACCCCAGACAACAACATTTTTTACATCAGCAGTTTTTACATTAAGTCTTTGAGCAATAACATTTTTTGCTTTGTTTTCATCAAGACGTGACAACGCAAAGAAACTTTCCCATGGCATATTGTCTTTAACTGCTGCAATCATTATATTACATATGAGGTTTGATGGCCCTCCAGCAACCACCACTTTCACATTTTTATCTGCCAGCTGGCTCAATATTTCTCCATATGATTTTGCAAATGAAAGGTCAAGCTCTTGAGTTGTTCCAAAGTATTGTAAATTATCTTTATTGCTGGGTTCATCAATTTGAAAGTTAAGTCCATCTAAGACAATCACTAAATTTGCCTTGTTAAATGCTTTTTCCATGCTGCTGGTGGAATATACCTCTTTGAGCTGACCAGGTGCACTGTCAGTCAGTTCCATGCATGACCCCTCAAGGATATCATGTTTATCATCATCATCAAGTAAGCAGACTGTAACTTCTTTCTCATCAGGGAAAACCTTAAGGTTGCATAGAGCAACCAGCAAATGATAGCAGACATCGTTAGCAGCAGCAGTAATGCAGATTTTTAGTGGATTGCTCTTTGCTTTTCGTGCCAATTCTATTTCATCATCTCTGATCTTTGTTTCTTTATTTTCTTGTGCAATTTTTAGTAGCTCGTCTGTCATTTTTTGCGATCTAATACCATAATATCCGCTTGCAATTTCAAGAAAATCGCTGCACGAGCCAACTAAGATCCCTTTGCCCCCTCGGTCTATCAGTTCCCTCCAGATAAGTGGTGATCGCCCATCGTAGGCCCACTCTCTTTCAGCGCATGTCTTTTCTACCCATTGGTTCCACTCTTGCGGTTGCAATACTATTTTGTGGACTTTAAAATCCACAAGTTTTGTCTGTAGTTCATCTGCAATAAGTTCTGCTTTGGCAAAAAATGGGCAATCGGATTTGCCGGCGACTACGTACTTCGCCATCCTTTCCCTGGTAACTATGAACACCTTAACCAATGGTTGCCATGTATTCAGAATTGTTGTTGTTGCTCCCGTGGCAATATTGTTGTGTTGTCGCTTGACCGTGTCCAAAACCGCTTTTAAGCCCAGCCCAGATCGTTTTTGTTTTATGTTGCAATAACCTCCCCCCCCCCTCATCATTTCTCTGCTTCAGAAATTTTTCCAAATCAAAATAGGCAGCCTCCATTCCTCCACTTCATGATTTATCTAAAATGTATGTTTTAAAAGAAACTTCATGAAAATGTAGAAGCACTTCTATAGAAGGGATAATTAGCTAAGTATAGAATTTGATCTGCTTCCTTTTTGTTTATTGCATATTCAGGGACGGATTTAAATGCCAAGGATGGGTGGGAGGCGGTGCTAGATAATCATAGAATTTTGGTGCCACACTCTTCAGGCCACTGGAAAAGCATGGAAACATCGATGTTCAAAATTCGGCTTTTGTATAAGATGAAGAAGAAAAAATATTAATGAAATATATTCTTGGCGCTATTTGATTACTACTGACTGCAAAAATGAAGGACAATGAAGCAGCTTACTGAAAGGGCTCCTCAAAGGAGAATAAGCTCATATTAAAATGGATTTTCTCGAATTAAAGATGCTTTTTTACATGTTGTTTACGGACTGAGCGGCTGCAGCCCCCTCCAAAAAAATCAGGTAAAATTAATGGAATTTCAGGCCCCCACTTCCTTTGCTTTTGCAAAACAATGGAGCTTTTTCATAAATCTTTTGTTGTGGGTGCTAAATTTTTCCTTGGCCCCTACCCACTTTTCAACTTGTGTCGGAGCTCATGTTTATCTGATGCATCTATCAAGCCAAAACGCTAGCAATATTGGAATTGAATGAAGCCAAAACTTAGAACTTTTCATAGTTCAAAGTTCCCACTTTTACAAGCGGGGTCAGTGATGGTTTCTATGGTGATTTGACATCATTGGAATGGCCGCATCCTATTGGTCAGTGGGGAAGACGCGCGCTGTTTCTATAATTTTGTCACCGACCAAGATGGAAACATGGTGGAGGTACTTCGTAGCTTTCCACGTGACCAAACAATCTGTTTTTCATTGCTCTTTAAGATATTTGAAATGTCCTGAAGGAGGGTAAAATAATGGGCAAGATATGCCTCTCCATGAAATCAAAGTATGGTTTATTTTAACCAGCGCCGAAAGAATGTTTGGCTGAAATATGCAGGGTTGATCAGCCATATTTTGGTAATGTTTATTTTCGGCGGAGTTGTTGATAACAAATTTGGAGTACAAGCTGAACATGGAGATCTTGGCACAGTATCGTTTCACTTGCGTAGGAAAACAAAAATGCATGGACACACTCATAAACATTCAAGATACCACAACAGAAGTCATTTCCAAAGCAGTTTTGGTCGGAGTAAAGATGGCTACTCGTTGAGAGTAAGTTTCATTCGTATTTGTATCTACTTGCTCAGTTGTTTGATTTTGCATTTTATTGATAGTTGAAGTAGTTTTTAAAGACTTTCAGTTTTCTGAATTTGACAAGATCATGTCAATTCTTTACGTTGTTCATCTACAGCCACGCTGTTGAATACATCCATTTAGGCCAATCAGTTATTTCAAGCAATTTGTTTTATCCGCTTGTGTGACCTAAGTCAGCTGAAGACCTAATGCAAATATTTTGAAAAAGCTAAAGACGTCAAGCAAACTTCGTATCATTCGATAATTTTTTGTCTTTACGTTATACATGCCTAGGAGGGTGACAAAGATTGACAAAGGGACAAGTATGGCCCAAAAGTATAGGCCTAAACCACACTGAGGGAAATTGAAGTAAATTAAAAAGATTTTCCACAAAGAAGCTATGGCATCTAAAAATGGTTTTTGTTACTCATATTTCTAAAGTATGGAATTTAAAAGAATCCATTTTTGGATAACTGTCATGAAATTTAAACATCTAGTAATTCTCTTTCTTTGAATAAAATTTGTTCAATAATTCCTGCTTTTCTCATCTCGTAGAGTACATCGTATGCATATGTAATAGAAATGAATATTGGTACTCCTCCTCAAAAGGTAGGCTGCCTGGTTATTTCATCTATGCATTAATATATATGTCTTTCATAAATTCTATCTGCAATTGACACAATGCCTGGTTAAATAGTTACCCCAGGGCCTCCAACGAAGGGGGGGCTGGGGAGCCATGGCCTCACAGCATTTTTTTGTAAAACAATAGAGCTTTTTTCAAAATCTTTTGTCATGGGTTGGAGCCCATATACCCACAATATCATACATTTTGAGTTTTGCTCTAGGGAGCTGAATTTTTTATATGTCAAGTAGATTTCTGAAGTAACAATAAAAATGCAATACAGTTTTAATTTAGCAGCACAATTTCTAATGTAGCATAGAATTTTTCAATTCTGGTTAATTGTTAATGAAAGGCCTTTTAGAAAAACCAAGTATGCAGTTCTGATGGATCTAGAAAGCTTGTTCATAATGCCCATTTTTGGGGTATTTTTTGTACCCTCTTAGCTTTTCCTAAGCATTACACTCTTATTTGTTGGCATACTTAGTAATAACATGTTCTATATTCTAGCATGCTATTTCTTTCATTCTTGAATGGAAGTGGACATAGAAGAAAAATCATATGCATTTACCTACTTATCTTGTTCATTTTTTGTAAAACCTTGGGTGTGATTGCAAGGGTGCCATGTCAGTTTGTGTTTATAACCTGTATCAGAAATGTTGCTCTTAGACCATAAAATATCTTGATCTCTCGTGAGCACAGGATTCTTTCAGGTTTTTGGCTATTATGTAGACTTGAATCGGAAGGAAAGTTTCTGTGAGTTCCCATGACTTTAAGTATCAGGCAACTGCAAATTATATAGTAAACACGCATTGACTAAAGCTTTGATTTTGCTTTAAAGAACATTGATGTGATTGATTGATGATTGTATTATAGCTTGAATTTCTGATAGACACTGGGTCAGCAAATATGGCAATAGCAGGTAAAGAATACCTTATGATATCAATATTCAAATTTTCAAATCTAAGCTACCTTGTCCAACTTTGCTAGTTTTAGAAAATTGTATGCGCCAAGCCATAAATATGCAGAGGTTTACAGAGTAAAGCAGTCACTATTAAAGCATTTCTTTAAAAAGTTCCAGCTCAGTCCAAATTTAGGAGAATAATCTTAAAGTTAGCAACCAGGAACATGATAACTGGTTTTGGTAAAGGTGGTTTGTCCTCTTAGGGAATGGCTCATATGCCAATGGACCTTAAACCATCCAAGACTGCCTCAGATAAGTTATCTAATGTCAGCAAGGCCTGAATCTTACTCCCTGTAAAAATAAGATTGAGCATACTTGGAGACAGACTGTTATTAAGCTCTGCTCAAGTGCTCTTAACCTATCAGTGGATTGTAGAGTAAAGATTCTTATGTGAGTATTGTTGCTATGTACTGTTCAGTGTTTAATCTGCATTATTAAGAAAAGTCGAAATCTATTGATAGTACTTCACAAGTCCATGAAATATTCGAATAGATTTCTGAGCAGTTGCAAGACAAAACAATCATGTGCAATTCTAGGAAAATGTCAGATATCCAGTGAAATGCATCTAGTAAACAGACAGAATTCCCATTTTTCTTGCTGATTTCTGTCACATTTTTTTATTCTAGGTCCACAGTGCAAAGATCAACATGGAAGCAAATGCAAGATTGATAATTATTATTATCCCTCAAAGTCATCCACAGCTGCTCCTTTAAATAAACCAGTAAGATCATATACCGTAAATCCTTGATTATGCCCCCTGGGGGCTTATTTATTTTTGATATTTTTGGATGGGGGCTTATTCGAAAGAGGGGGTTTATATGAGGGGGGCTTATGAAATTATTGTAAACATTAAGAAAACATTATTAAAAGACCTCATTTATTTTAATAGGAATTCAAAAGTATGAATTTGTTGTGGTATTTTAGTAAAACGCCATAGGTAACCTCAGATGGCAAAAATCATCAAATGGAGGGGTCCAATTCGAAAATTTACGATAGCAGTGGGGGATTATTCAAGGGGGGGGCTTTTTTTGGGGGGGGGGAATTTGAGGATTTACGTACTATTTTCAAATTTTTAATCCATAAAACTTAGTTCCTTATAATGAATTTCATAGCAATGGATTCATACCAGATAATTTGATGATAAAGCTGGATCCAATTTTGCATACACAAACTTGAGTTTATGGAATAAGCTGGCTTGAAAAATTTTAGTATCAAGTAAATAATGTTTTTCCTCACGAACAGCAATTCATGCAGTAGGATTTCAAACTGCTGGAATTCATGAAAATTGTTTTTGTAGGTAGAGACAGAGTATGGGAAAGGTGCATGGTCAGGAGTCGTTTTTAGAGATGTGATATCATTTCCAGGAGGTTTGCATTTGTTTTGTTCATATAATATGAATGTTTAATGTAATTTAATAATTAATGTTAGTTTTGACTATGTGACATAATGAAACTGCCTCATTCAATGCAATTTGTAAAATCCCATCACCAGGTATGATATTTCCTATCCATATATATTTTGTTGTTCCAACCAAAAAAATTATCTCTTGCTTAGCCATGAATTACAACTTATGAAATATTGCAAAGTTAAGGTGTTATAACTTGCATCTACTAAAGTGCTGTTGTGGCCTGGTTTGAGTGCAAATCAATTAGCTTCAAGTAATAAACACACAAAACACGACATAGTTTTCCAACACAAACCTTTATAAAAACCAAATACTCTCTACAACTTCTTGACGTGATTCAAACTGTCCCTCTCTCTAACTAACTAAAAGTCCTCTGTCCGGGGGTAAGTCAGTTTTTGTAATATGGTGTAATGAGGTCTTTGGAGAGGTCCTCACACTGTCATTAATTGATTTTTTTTGTCATAAAAAGGAAGCATGTGGCTCAATTCCGAGAATTGAATTCTGTCTTGAAAATATCAGGTTTGTTTGATAGATGTTGCAAAGTAAAGGAAAACAATAGTGTAGTCTTGAAAAAGTGATTGAGATTTTTCTGTAAACGCAGTGTTTTTAATTTTTTCTAATTTTTGTTTCTCATATAGGTCCAACAACAATTGCAGAATTCGCTGTTATAAATCAAGAAAAAGAGTTTTTTCTTAGTATGTATTTCCAGACTATTTATTGTAGAAAAATATTACTGTTATTAAATATTAAAGGTTATTTGATATGTTATGATGTATTAGATGTAAATAACCATCTTCAATTAGTCTCAAAATAGTCTAATTTCTTCAAGTATTTGGCTTGATGACTACATTCTTTGAATTGGACTTTTAAATTGATTCATATTGTAAATCACTTAGTGCAACATCTTCTTACAAAACCCTTCAAGCAGACTGGTTTGAAACATGATCTTGTTTGTAACCCCATCGCCAAAAAAGTAAAAAGGGAAATTTTGAGTAATTTTCGAGTATTAATTTAAAAATTGATTAGTAGCATGACTGGGTTTAGTGAGTTAGGTGGCCAAGTGGCCAGGATCAAAATCATTGATTGAGCCTCATTTGCCCACAAATTATTGATATAATCTGGGTTGACTATGTTTTGCAGAAAATTCAGTAAATGAAGGAATATTGGGACTGGCATACAGAACATTGTCTGCTGATAACGTAAAGGTATTTTGTGTGAAATTTTCATTCAAATCAATGATAATATTCATTTAATAATGTTTTATCATACATTCGTTTTTTATCTTGGAAAGCGCAGCTTAATAATAAAACAGATTACCAGCACAACAACAAAGAGAAACATTTTGTTAAGTTGTATTGCAGCATTTCTTCTATTTCCAATTGTCAACTATTCAAAGATTGACACAACTATCAGTATGAAATGATCAGTATAGACATTCCCATACTCAGACACACAATAATCAGTATGTTATAAATGTTTCAACTCTAGTTAGAGTCAGATTCAGTTAAATATAATCAAAGGCACAAGTTCTACTGAAAATCATGTGACCTAACTGTACGTGAGAGAAGCAATCAGGATGTGAAAGGGGACATAAAAGAGTAATAAAATAGCTACGGGAAAATAAACATGTAACAAAGGGTGCAAAAAAATGAAATGAGGAGAAGGAAAATCAAAACAAAGACATAGAAAGAGATGACGGCTGGAAAAAAAGTGAATCTCTATCCCTTTATATGAGTAGGCTTTCATAGATGAGTAAGTGAAGGAGTTATCTGTTTTTGGAGGATAAAAACATTTTAATTGAAACATTTTCAAAAATTTTCTACGTGTAAAGTTTTATATGTGATCATGAATAGAGGAAAGTCTAGGAGATTTAAAAAGTTTTCATTGTTTGTTTATTCCCAAAGACTCTATGGAACGAGTTTAAAAGATTGTGAGATATTTTGCCATAGTCATAGCAAAGGTATTTGTTTCGTAGCAATATCTACTTCTTGTTATGCACTTTGTTTGTTATACTAATCTCTTCTTTTTTCTAGCCACTTTATGACCAGCTTGTTGCAGACAAAAAAGTTCCAAATGTTTTTTCAATGGCGCTGTGCAATGGGAATGTAAGTCTATATAAAATTATCTTAGCTATGTAAAATTATTTTCAGCATATTTTCACAATATATATATAGAATAAAGTAAAGGTATATTTATTGTTAAAAAAACCCTTCAAAATATTGCAAAATTGGTTTAAATGATCTTCAGTTTGAGACAATGGTTAAAACGATCTACAAAAATGATCTCCCTTAGCGATTTGTAACAATCAAGCAAGTCAGTGGATCCAAAAGAACAGTATTATATACTCATCTTATATGTAATATACCCTTGCGGTTGATCTTTTTTCTTATTCCATAAATATTTGAATTTAGGAAAAACCGTTTAGTTTATGCCCCTGTTGCCTGTTTATTCATTATTCTATTTACCAGGTTATTCCAATTTGTTATTAACGATTCTTTTTAAATTTACTCGCAGGGTAGATTATGGCTTGATGAACCAGAACCTGAGTCCTACTTAAAACCAGTTCACTGGACCAGAGTGATTCACCAAGCCTGGTACACTGTACGGATGACAGGAATTGTGAGTCTCACTCTGCTGCTTCTCTTTGTGCAAATGTTAAGGTATACGAGGTCCATTTAAGTAGATGTAACCCTTGGTAATTTAAGGTTTATGTTTTACCTATATGTAGGTTCGAAGACATATATAAATGCTTGTTCAACTTCAAGGTCTTTATAATGCACACTCCATAATTACAAGGTTAAACTGTCACACAATTATATTTCTAAACAAACTTTTATAAAAGACGTGTAAAGGATTAATCTGTAATTAACGAAACAAAGCATTTTCCTACTCATTAGTGATTAATAACAAAGAATCAAAGACTTCATGTAGTAGCAACATGATTGTTTATAACAGGGATTGGCAACGGCGAACTCCATGTACTACATAGGCTTAATATCTTATTTACACCATTGAGGAAAGCTCAGCTTATTCCCAATAGAATAAAACTCTTTCTAAAGCTGTCTTTAAGGGAAGATTTGGATGACTTGTTTTTTGCAGTTTGAAGGATAGTTTTAGGGAGTAAAGGGGGAGTTTAAAGCATTTTACTTCCACCCCGTGGAAGATATGATTACCCTTTTTTAGTATTCCTGTACTTTTTACGTTGTTGCTACAATGTCTGTCAAAAGCATTGAAATTTTGCATATTTTGTATTGCACCCCCGTCTCATGAATAGTTGTTAAATAGCAGCAGTTTTGAATCCTAGAATTTCCCTTATTCGATTCTATCGGGGAGTGTATGTATAGGCTTTTCAAGAAGCATTGTTACGGGCTTATCTTGCAATCTGTTAATCTTTCCAGAACATCCTTTGACACTAGAGTGTCCCAAGGATGTTTTGACAAACTCACAATTCATGAAGGTCCCTAGTCTTGATTACTTAACAACCTTGCGCAAACAAAATGTTATAGTATTCAGGATTTTACTGTCCCCTTTTACAGGATGTTGCTGGTCATAGCCTTGGGTTATCTCCCTACAGTTATCCCCCGGCTATTGTTGATAGTGGTAAGTTGATCATTTTACTGAAAAATACATCAAAACTTACTATTATCTTTTAGCTTTTGCTTTATCGTAAAAATAATTTAGATCAGGTAAACAAAGTATTCTTCAAGAAGATAAGGAGATGTTGAAATTTTTCGTGACTGAATGTTGAAATTTAAAAGTTCCAAATGTCTTTTAAAAGGTTTAAATTTTAGACTGTCAAATTTGAATTATGATACCAATTTGATGTTTCGATTCCTTGAAACAATTTTTCATTGTGAAATTGTAAAACTGGAATGGGTTAATTTTTTGCGTTATAGGGACGACTGACATTCTGCTTGAGCCAGAAATCTATATAGCAGTGATTGCAATGCTCAAAAAGGTATATTTTGCAAATTATGAAGCTATCGTTGTTAATTCCATATTGAATGATTGCACACTTATTGTTTTGGCAGTTAGATTCGCATCCTTTATTGTCAGGTAAACAGGTGATATTTTTTAGACTAAATATCTGTTAAAAATCAATCTTTCTGTAAATCCTTCTCCGAATGCCCATGCCAGACTAGAAATAGAATAAACTATTTTCTTATGATTGAACTAGATGGCCGAAAGGCCGCTACATATCACTTACTGTTGTTATCGTATATTAAAAACATGTTTTGCTTTGCTATGTTTGTAATAATAAGTATTTTTGTTCCAGCATGGTCCTCCAGTCGATATTCGTTTTTGGAATAATTATTGTGTTGAAACAGATCCATTTAAATGGCCATATTTAACAATATATTTGAAAGATACCAGTAAGTAAAGATTATTTATATTGAGTGAACAGAATTTGCTGCTTACAATTCATAATTTAGCTGGGCCACTGCTTGATTTTTCTCACTTCTGTCAGTGGCACGTTTCATGTAAATTCTTGACAAAATTTCTTTGTGTATTTGTTTACTATCTAACTACTTACTGATGTAGTTATTCTTAAAGGCTGGTTCACATTTTTTTATTTTAGATGGTGGCTCATTCGCTCTTACGATTTTGGGAAAACATTATGTACGAAAGCAAGAGTACGTTTGCCTTGATACTCTTTGAAGTAGAGCATTATTCGACCATCGCATTGCTATGAATCATATCAGAAATCAATTGTTTATCCTGTTCATACTTAATAAAGGCGCCTCTTGTTTATCTTTCAGTAGTATTTGTCTGTTTGCCAACCAACTTTATTTTGCCTCAACATAAACAAAAGCTTTCTGACTTTTTCATTTTATATTTACTATGAATCATTATTTCTATTTTTCTATCATTGTCTTTCACCCTAAGCCTCATATCTGGTGTGATTATCAGAAAACTGTTTTCCTTTTAAATTTTATCATAAATGTTATCTTTCGATTCCAGTCAGTTTTACTGCTTAAGTATTGGTGCCAAGCAGTTTGGTGCTGTTCTAGGAGAAGTTGTCATGGAAGGCAATGTCGTTATATTTGATCGTGGCAATCACAGAGTCGGTTTCGCATCCAGTAATCTCACTGATCCAGAAACTGGAAGACCGTGCGGTAAGTACTTACTACAATTAACTTTTTGTTTAAGTCATTCCTCGTCCTCTTCAATTAACATCTCTTTATAATCAGCTTTGTTTGGAGAGTAGAAAATTGAAATTGCTCGGGCTGCCTTTTAAGGCTTTTTTATGGCCTTTTTTAAAAAACTAAGAACATGTAATAAACACCGTATCGATTTGAGGATATGCTGTCTTATTTAAAACCCTCTCGAAAAATTTTGAATTGTGTTTAAACGAACAAGGCATCCTTTGTTAAACGATTGCTGGATACAGTGGTGTTTTCCCAAAAGAATCTGTAGCTGAAATTTCTGCTCCACGATGAATAAGTAATGTGACGAAGGGACTTTGCCAGAGCATGAAGCTTAACGAAATTGTTCCTTCGATTAAATCTCCTATCCTTGGAAAGGGAAATTTCTTAGAAATATGGAGAATTTAAGACAAATCGTTTATTGTAAACAGGAAATTTTGGGCATAAATACATTTCTCGTAAATTTTAAACCTGTAGAAAACAGCCTTTTCAAAAGCTCCTTTTACCAATGGACAATAATTGTCGCCAGTCTCTCAGTTTTTGTTGCTAGCATGTTCCTTAAACGTTGGGTATGAAAAGCGTCCCATCTTTAAGACGCCCTCTCGAGTGAACGCCCCACTATTCAGCTTTTCACGTTTTTATGTTATTCATATTTTTACGGTTCTTTTGCATCAAATATTTCTTATACACATTTTTACAATATTTCTCCCTTTTTATCAGGTAATCCCATAACGCTGAATACTACAGTTGCAGGTGAATTCAGTCTACTACAAAAAAATCTGCTAATATAAACACCTTTTGGTGTTTACTGTTAATAGGATATCGATTAGTAGGAGAATATTGCTTTAATACTACACCTATCTTTATTCAGTCAAAGAACACAGTCTCTTAAAGGCCTTGGTAATTATTGAGTATTTTAAATATCCAAGTTGTTAAGGCGAAATGATTACCCCTGTCCTGCAAGACTCCATTAAGCATATTATAAAACGTGACTATCTTCTTCACGCTTTCAGAACACATGGTTCAGAAGGGAATCAAGTTTGATTTTGTTTGATTGGTACTATTGTACCGTTTAGCATCATAGAACTTTATGAACATGGGAACTTTGTTTAGTTATAAATGAGTTCCATGCCCCTGTCAGCAGCTAAGGCAATTCCTTCTCAATGCCTTTGTTTTGAATTTCAGGGCGACTGTATGACTTCTGCCACGCCCCATTTTTACCAAGGGTTTCATGCCACAGAGATTGCAATTCATGCACAAAGCACGGTGGGGCCTGGTGCTCTCATGGCAAAATCAGTATTTGGATTAATGGTGTAAGGTAAGCTTTTTATACCAGAGTTTTTAAAATAATTTGTTAGATATAGTCTGAAAGTCATCCCTCTAATAGACATAGCATAAGAGAAATGAATTAATCATCTACCAAGCTAAGTCCGCAGTTAATGGGATAAGGGTGTTTCAAATGGTGTTTCTTTAGGCTGGCAGCAGTTACTTTTGAAAATAAAGGCAATTTAAGTCTGTTATGAAGCTAAATGTCTGATTGCCTTAAAATCATTTGCATTGTTTCATTAACAGACAAAACCTCGATGGTTCAAAAGGATATTGTTGGATTGGTATGTGAATTTAACCTTGATTACCAACAGAGGCATTACAGATGCTGCAATATGAGAAAAAATGTTTTTTTCAGCAGACAATGGAAAGTTGATTCAGTCGACTCCGCTTATAGTCACTTCGCTCGAAGTCACACTACTGTTTACATTCACTTAATACTAGGCCAAAATACTCAAAAGCTGTTGAATCAAGCTCCTTTTGCTGTCACATTTCGCAATATTTGGTGTTACTATAAATGGAGTCAATGGTAGCAGTTTGCACTAAAATTTTGTTCACTGTTAAATAAAAATTAAATTTTGGCAAACGGCAGCTTGCTCAAAGTATATCTGATGCAAGCGTTGCCTCGCATTTTGATCGAAAACAGTTATATTTTGTTCTTTTATGACATCATCCTTGAAGAGAGAAACTCCCTATCGTTTACAAAGCAAACTGCGGTTATTCTGCCAGGCATCTTGTTACAGATTATTACCAATTCTTTGGAGAATGTAAACAAATATACTACTCAAAAAATTTCTTCCACTTAACACCTTTTAGATCACTTCTTCCTTTGTTTAAATATTCTTAGCACACAAGTATTCTAAAATTTTGATCTATTTAGGTTCTATTTATTTTTGACTTGATCTCTCAACGAATGCTTTATTCTATAAGAAGAAATGCCCATTTGTTTTGTTGTACAATCTCGATAGAGACCGAGCAGAATCGATAAGACTGACATTGATCTACTTCAATTCACAGGAAGCGTGTTTGCATTCGAAGTGCCCAAATTCCAAACATATTTGGATGGCCACGGTAGCGTCGAATTTGAGCTACAATGCCATGCAATAATGCCTATGTATCGTCAGTGTATAAGTATGTGTTGTCTTTCGTTGTTTCTTTTTATAATTTCGTAAATTATTATAATTTTTCTTTTTTTAATGTCGTTTTAAATTTTTTTGATCTAAATTACCTCCCTTAAGAACCCCATATCGATCTTTTGTAAAATAACAATGCTGTAACTTAAGAACCTTATTACCTCATAGAACATGTCACTTTCTGTGGTATTACTTGCATTTTTATGCTCATGCGCCTGAGCTTAGTTGCCAGATTGTACTTGGCATTAAAGTTCATGTCCTTTGATTGCAATCACTATGCTTTTATAGACAGACTGCATTTGATATAATTTTTCAAAGATAAGTCTCACTTTTGTTATATTTTATTCTGTAGTTGGTGGAGAGTGGCTATTTGCAATTATCATATTGCTGCTGTTTGGATCCGCAATATTCTGCATGTGCTTATGCTGCAGACGTGTTTATGAAGCTGACACAAGGGAACCGTATCCTTTGTTCTATGATGGTCAACGAGAACTGTATCCAGTATATGATCAAAGACGGTTTCCTGCTGAACAGGAAAGACGAGTGCATCCATTTAGATGATCAAAGTAAGACATTTGTTATTCTAAAAGTGTATGTATTTTATATCATCCTATTACAGATAAAAAAAATTAAAAGACATTGAGTCAAGGCTTTGCTGTAATGATACTTGTGGGCCCAAGACAGGTCATACAAGATTATCTTATTCTGGTTCTGAAAACTGGTTTTGTCAATAAAAATTTTCTAAATTTTGCTTTCCAAGATCACATGAAGTTAAAGTGTTTGAATCAAACAAAGTGATCACATGAAACCAAAGTAATCACACTAAAGAAGATGACCCAGACCCCCCTCCCCCCCAACAATGGAAGCCTCTACTCACAATAACTCAATGCCTGCAATATACTAACCAAAAAGGTGTTTAATTGTAAATCTAAGACAAGTTCATATTTCAAAGAAATTGGATGAAGGATAAAATAGTATCTAAAATGTAAAACGTCATTACACGATGTATATTATTTTAAATACCATATATTGAATTAGTTGCTTTATCTAACACTTGTATCACAAAGATATTTAACTGCTAAAGGAGATCTAGCTCTAGTAAATAACCAAACATTAACATGTTGGAAATACTATGAGATCAGAGATCTGGGAACACTTTTTAAAAATTGCCAATGCTTCAAACATTAAGGCAGCTTAAAGGAAGAACTGTCTATATGCTAAGCACAGGGTAGGACAATGCTTGGTAGGGTTGAGGTTAACCTACTTAAAATTAAAATGGTTGTTCGAACTGTGTATTAATAGATCATGAAAACAAATTAATGTTGGGTATAATTATAAACAAATTTATTTCTGATAAGACACAAAAAGCAGCTTTAGTTTTTTCTAGTTTGTTTTTGTCTGTATGTATGAAGTATGAAGTGGTTGGCATAACCTGGCCATTTTAGAGCAACACTCCTCAAATCAATAAAAGTTGACTCTAACAGAGCAAATGCTGGGAATACTCTAACATAAAGTTAATTGTGTTGAAAAAGTACTCATGACATTTGACTACAGTAAGGCAAATAATCACAAAATAACCAATATATCACTACTTGGTCATAAATATTCAAACATGTGTGCAATTGTATGTACAATTCATTTAAGATAATTTGAAGTAGACATCATTAGTGTTAAGAGTAGCTAAAGACATGTCACTTTCTAGGTTATGTTAATAATAATCAGTAAAAAAATTTACCACGATTGACATAAGTGCAAATAGTTACAATTGACACAATTTGACACATTCCTAGCCATTTATGAACATCTAATCCAGTTGTTGTTAGCTTGTCTCAACTGTAAAGAAACAGACAGGAAAGGCTTTAAATAACTGCAATATTTGAAAGTTTTGGTGCTTTAGTTTATAAAATGGCCCCTACGAAGCCTGCTATGTGGGCAGCCAGTAGTCCTACGTTAGGGTACTTAGATTAGCCTTTGAAAAGACAAGAGGTGCATTAACCAAACACTTCCATGGTATTTACTAATATGACACTTTAATAAAACATCATATATAAGTATTTACCTGTTTCTCTGTAACTTGATAATTTCCTGCGGCGCTTATGAATGGGCTTCCCTGAGAAACTAGAGCCATGGAGCAATTCACAACGCTTTTCAAAAGCTTGAACCATCTTCTTCACAACCTCATCAAAGAACATTGTAGAAAGATGAGAGTGGAGAGCTGACTTGAATTCGAAAGCAATCTGGATGAAATATAAAAATGACAACCAGGTTGAAAAAACATGAAAATACATGGTGATAATGTAAAATCTATTTTCTGGTTCAGTTTGTATTTGTCCCTATACTTTAATTTACATAATTTAAGGATAACTTTGATATAAATATTTCTTACAGCCATGAATACAAGATTGGTAACATTCATTCGATAAAACATAGAGCAGTATGTATTAACTTAGATCACAGTTTTAAACAGATGCTCACATGAAAATTCAATGTGCATGAGTTTGGATTGTTTGGAATTCCTTTGCTGAACCTCCAAACTGCCTTCATGTAGTTAAACATGTCTCCATCAACACACTCAGACTGAAATAAAATTGAAAATAAATCATGCTTTCAATCACAACTGTCTTTTTTAGCATTAATCATCACAATCTCTTTTGAAAAACAGATACAAAATGGGTATTCATTGTACTGTTATGATGTGCTTGAACCTAGCCAAAAGGATATGCTTAGAACTTTTAATTTCCAGATTCAAAAATGTCTTAAATGCACCTAAAGCATTGAGGACAGAAGTGTTGAGCCCTGAAATTCAGTTGTTTGTTGCTACAAAATGCATGAGACTCTACACTGTTAGGTCCTTCAAGAAAAAAGACTCATAAAGTTAAAGTCATAAAGTTAGGCAGCTATTTTCAGTTATTGATGACCTTTCTGCCTCCTCTTGAAATATAGCTTTGTTTGTTAATTATCTTAGGGGATGGGGCAACCATCCCCCAAGAATGCCAAAGCAGAGGTAAAGGGGGGGGGGAAAGAGTGCCTTTATAACAAAGAGCAACATTGCAAAAACCATGTACCCCCTTGATTCTAGCATCCATCAGCCCCACAGTTTTTGTGCTTCAGGCATCCTGGTTTAGACAGAATGGCTCTCAGTTATTTTTAATTGGTTTTATCAAGACAGACCACCCCTTTTCTTTGCTCTTAAAGTGCATATGACACGAAAATTTTTATTCGCTTAAATCATCAAAGAAACATCGCTGGTAACGATGGTGAACTTAGTTTTTTCATTTGCGACTTACTTTCCCCAAAAAACGGGGTTTTCCGACACCCACTCGAGCTAAAATGTGTCACAAGAAAAACGCGGTCGAGCCTGTGGTCACGTGACCCCTGTGACGTAAAGTGGTTGTGTATCCGTTGAATAGAACAAGGCTTCTGTATGGTTTCACCATGTGCGGGCACTACTGTTGTCCCCTAAAGATTTTTTTCCTCCATAATTGTAATAAGTTTTATTTAGATAACTCAAGCAATGCCATCAAAGGTCGGAAAGTAATTTAGAAAAATTTTTTGGTTCATTATAAAATTGATCAAAATTGAAATAAAGTGTTGTGCATGACTTTATGGAACGAATACCCCCTTGAGGAAGAAACCGTTGTGCTTGACTACCATCCTGGAAAACCTGCCCCAACAGAAGTTCGCCGCTTGGCATTATTTATTAAAAGTGCAGCGTAAAGATATCGAGCCATCATCTTTTTCAAGATCACCTTTTTTACACCGAAAATACCAAAACATTTTTGCGACGTGATGCTCTACCCTCAGTCCGCAAACCAAAACAAGACAAAGAACGAAGCAAGAATGAAAAAAGCATGGTGAGTAATAAGTTTCCTATTGTTTTTTTATAACTGCCTAACAACGTTCTATTGTGTAACAGCTGAGATACGTTATTGGTAATGACTCGACAACACCGGGGGCACTTGCTTTTTATGGAAAAAAGGGACTCCTTGTCTCTCTGTGTGGAGTCCATATCACCGTTTTTAATACATAAAAATAAACCATTTAAACAAATGTAAACTACTTCAATATTTTATACAAAAGCGAAAAAGGTTTTGGAAACTAAAAAAGCAGGGGGTTGGCAACTCAAGAAATATTTAAGAAGCAGGGAAATGATATTCTATGAGATAAAGATTCAAAATGCAAGTGAGAATCGATTACCAATAAACAGAAGTCACCAAGTAACAAAACATGATATAAAAACTTTCAATTAAATCACGGACTCAGTCGTTTCTGTATAACAGAAATGGTGGTCTTTGACCTGGTCAGCCTTGGTCAAAGACCAAAAAATTAATCTTGGATCATGTTTGTTGTTAAATGTAAACATTGAAATTTGTGTTCCTTGTTCTTCACAGGCAAGCAGCGTTAACGGAAGCTCTGCACAGATGGAGTTGCTTTGGCATCAACAAGGTTTTGAATCTCTCAGAAGTATGCCATTGCACAGAGATACCTATTGAACAAAAACATTGTATGACTTAATATAATGGTTGATTTGAGTTTCTCTTACATTCTTTAGAATCGGCAGGATCATAACATTACATATATATATTATATGTATATGGTATACTCTTTTCTGCCAGATTTAATGAAAATAAAATATTAAATTTACTAATTCTAAGAATTGAAGGTGCCAAACAGAATTTGTATTTCTAGACAGTATAACTTAGACAGTATAACAACTAGACAGTATTTGTATAACTTATTCTTCATTCGCCCATACAACGCAATAGGCCAGGCCGCTATGATCAGGGAATGGTGGCCTAAAAACAGCAGAGATGTACAGGGAATACTGAATTTATAACACTAAAAAACCCAATGACAACTTATTTCACTCACCATTGACTCAAAGTAATAATTCCTCGCCATCGATCACGCTGTTGGGATTTTTGTATTCCATCTTCGTCCTCTGCCCGGTCATGAAAGCTTCGAGCCATGCCAGCTATGCCTGGTTCCGCGTCTAAATTATCCGCAGAAAAAAGACTGGTTCGTTCTTGCAAGGCAAAAATAGCCCATCAGCAGCAACTAAAAGCTATTCCCCTTCACTTTCGTCAAAAGCTGACGCCCTCGAGCTTGAATATTTGCCGTGAGACACGTTCATAAACTCGCAAGTAAAACTCCGCCGTATAACTTCTTGTTAGTTAGCAATCTAAATTTTCGCTAACACAACCACTTTACGTCACTTCCTGTCAAACTCGACCCAATCCCTTATGACAGAATTTGAAGCAAAAATCGACCTTGAAACAGCTGTAATTACGAAAGTGTTTGTTTTTCGAAAATTTTATGGTGATTTTCGTGATCAGCATACTCGATTACGTGATGGGGGCGAATAAACATTTTCGTGTCATATGCACTTTAAGCTCTCCCGGAAATTTTATGGCAAGGGATTTGCTTTTACAGTCAAAACAATATAAGAATGTGATTATATGAAGCTACTAATTATTATTTGGATGTATTTTGAATGCTTCTTGAAATTTTCAGGGAATAGACTGCCAAGGAAATCTTCTAACTGCCTCGAGGTAGGAACACAGGGCTGGGCTTCTTTGCTGTCTGCAAAAGCATTATATACAAAAGCAAAATATATATATTTAACAAAAATAAATCAGGAACAAAGAAATGTGATGACTGAGAATCCATTGTAACAAGATTTCAAAATAAATGAAATTCAACGGATACATACTAATATTTTGCCCTGGTATACAGCGATTCATCGAGTAAAAAAATTATTACTTCTTTTTGTTTTATTACTCATTGCCAGATTCATACCTGGCGGACAGCCTATCCTGCCTACTGCTACTGACTATGCCTGATATAAAGCAATTTTTGGTTGATGATACACAGTTGGTCATGCATATTTGCTATGCAAGAAGGGGCACAAAACAGTTCAAGCTCACCTTAACTAAGTTTGGCCTGACTAGTGTTAGGATTGAGGTATATCTTTCTACCAAAGGAGGGAATCCAACTTCTAAAACAGCTCTTAAATGACCAGGTTTTGTTTCTAGGACCTTTGAGTCTCTACACCATGGAACAAAATGCTTGTAATCATCAACATTTGCAACAACATCATACATGTGGTCCATGGAAAACCTATCATGGAATAAGACGAACAAGTTAAAGCTTGAAACTCATTTTATTAATTCAAATAATTTTTCATTTCATGTAAAAATACTAAATAATACTAATAATACCAATAATTTTTACTAAAAAAAGTTAATGAGTAAGGCTGCGTACACACTGAGAGCGAAATAGCGAAGCAAAGCGAATGAGCGAATTAGCGTTCAGATAGTTTGTACTGAAAACAATACACCTGTTCACATCAAGACAGAGCGATACGACACGGAGCGACAAGATTACTTCTCATGTATTTGATCGCTGCGAACGGAAAGGAATAACAGCAATGGGCGTTGATTATATCATTGCCATACAACCGATTAGTAGTTACTGGGAATAGTCTGACGATACTGGTCTTCAACCAGACCAGTATTAAAGTACATGGCCTCATATTTGGGGAAAAGGGTGGCCCCCAATAATTGCCAACTGTACTTTATATGGGAAGCAAAACAATAGACATCCCCCCACCAATATAAATTTATTTCCAACGACACTGAAATAACGAGTCAAACATAGATAAATACATTCTGAATCTGAAATAGCCTTGTCATTCCACAACTGCGGCACCAAAAAAAGATATTCACCAGATAAAAGCAAATATCTATTTTTAATAAAAATCAGTTCATTCCTCTTTTTATTTCGTGTACCTCTTTTTATTTAGCAGACATCTCCAAACATATTGCTAACACTTTTCACAGTTTTCATCTTTCAGAACATAGATAAAAAACTTAAAGTTAGAAAATATATAATCTTAGATATAAGTAGGCCAATCAGAAATGTTGGCATGACTGTAAAGTTTGTCTAATCAGTGCCACTTGCCTTTTGAAAATATTAACAATAGTGATGAAAGGGTGATAAAACATTCTGTCTACACAATGGTATTTTCTTCTTTATGTATGAGGATCTTCTCTAATGTTGTTGAAGTTTTTTGCTCTGCAAGATCAAAGAAACTGTTCTCATAGGGGGATGTTTTGTTTGTAATTAAAGGGGCATGCTATTTTATTCTATCCCCAAATCTTTAGCTTGTGAGAAGCCATTTTTTAATGCCATTAATTTTCTTTTATTGTGGCTTATTTTTCCTTAGTTTGATGGATTTCTATATGTACAGACAAATTTGTTATATTTTATTTAGATGTTGATATAGTGTCTGAAACTAAAATTTGTCTTAAGTGATCTTGGCATAAAAAATAAGTTTGGAAGGCTGTTGGCCTAAACGAAAAATAACCAAACATGGCTAAAAGAAAACTTCACTCATAACATAAAAACTTTCTCACAGTAAAGCAACTAAAGCTAAATAAAAATATCAATAGTTAGCTGTTGATAAAAGAAATGGGATAGCATCTTGAATACTTACGGTAATATTTTTCTCTCAGAGTATTCTTTTCTTTTGTCTTTCAAAACATGTTCAAGTGGATTACTAAAGAAAGTTCGAATTGGCCTTTTCTCTGTTTTATGTGGATAAAGGAGTGCTGGCCGAACAATGCTAATGGCCCCAATGTTTCTAGAAAATGCTCTTGAATTATCCCTTTCCTGGAGTTGACTTCTGAGATTGCAACCACATCTAGGCAAACAAAATTTTAAATTCAATTACCGCTTATCATAAATAACAAATATGTTAGTTTAAAGCCTTCGCATAAGATTATCACTCCTGACCTTTGCCTTTTAATGATTATTACGCAATAAAATTATTTTACTTAGAGTTGGCGTTCTGCGAATAATCTATTTTTGCATTAACAGGCATTTAGCTTAAATTTTGTTCAACATTTTAGTGTGAGGAGCTAGTTTCAGCGGACTATATTATCTATATTATGAAGTAATACTTTTGAAAATTTCATAACATAAAGAAGACTATATAGGCCTTAAAATGCACTTCCGTAAAACACAAATATAGATTTACGAAAAAAGAGCACACCTTTCATTAGAATTGTGCCATCTTGTATTCGAGTGTATAAATCGCAACCTAGATACTTTGCCTACATAAACTTTCCGATTCAACATCGTTCCACATCTTGACGCCATATCAATTTATTTGGGACACTGAATTGGAACAGTCGGTACCAGTCTTTTTTTCAAGGCCTCTTTTTCGCTTTAACCTCCCTATAGAAGAGAGCCTAATTTTGAATTGGTTAATTTTCCCGCAAGATGGCCGGCGTGACCTACATGAAAAACACATCGTTTATTCAAGCTGGAAAGTCCATAGGTACGACTTTTTAGTTTATATGACGTAAAATTGAATCAAGAATTTCCTTTCTTTTCCAGAATTAAAATTCAAGTTTCATTGATTTCCACAACAAATTAGGATCACGTCGTTGGAAACGTGACATCTACATCGCTTCAATTATTGCGAAAAAAAATTGGAAGATTGGGGCTAAAAGCCACCATAAAAGCGCAAAATCGTCTGTATACGACATTTATCAAAGCTAAGAAAACATTTTGCGTTCAATTACGCAATTGATGAACGAATAATTGGATAAAAAAATGACTCACCTTAAACGAAGAAGTATGTGTCTGCCATTTTGTGTCGAATGTTTTCGGTACTATTTTTTCATAATTATTTTTTAAAGGGAAACGGATATTGTAGCTGCTAACCTAGCAATTTTAGGCACAAATCATGCACGAGGAATAAGGATATTTGCATAAATCACTCAGTTTTCAATTTGTTTTGCCATAGAGAGGACTGAAATAAAGCTGACTGCTTGGCCTAAGTTCGCCTTGATTGGGCTTGGGCATACCTTAAAACGTCTGTTTCAGTTTGGTAGTTTTTTTCGCATTAATTCTCTAAACAAAACCTGTAAATTTTAAATTGTTAAATATCTTTGAACAAAAATACTCTAGAGCAAATCTGATACCTTTTGAATACAATTTTTGGCTAAATTATTGCACTTTGTTGAAACCGTAAATTTTCCCCTTGTTTTGACTCTTGCGAAAGCGACAATCTTGCATGCTCCAGATCGGCAGATAAAAAAATTCAATAAAACTTTTGAATGCAAGGATGTTTTAAAGGTGTTTGCCAAGTGTTTAATCACTTATTCTCTTTTTGATTTTATGCGTGCATGCTAATATTTACATACAAAAAATATACTCAATCAGGGCAACGCCAGAAATTTAGGCCATCAAGACAACTAAGAAGTATCGCAGCTTTTTCAAAAAACTTTGTTAAACCAATTACCTGATCTTTTGAAATATATATCAGAAGAGCCTGAAGAATTTTGTCAGTGCCAAGTTTTATGTCTCAGTCTACGTGAAATAGAAAAATTTTAATTTTCATATGGGTTTACTCAACAGGGTGACGTGACCCTACCTACAAGATTCGCAAGATCAATCATTACATTGACAAATTGCAAGAATTTCTTTTGAAGCTTAAAAGTATAAATATGAGGATGTTATGTCTGACACCCTGGATAAGAATGTTAAATTGATTACACTTTGGTTTCTTTGGTCCACAATAATTCAGTTAGAAGATAATTTGTTAACTTGATCCTCTGCCTTTCTATCTGCCCTTATAATTATGAAATACTCTCTGTTAACATATCTTTGGGCTCATTGAATTCAGTTTCAGTTTATCATTTTAAATGCCACTATATAAAGAAATATATATGTTCATCACTGCATCATCACTGAGTATTACTTTCATCAGGTGCGCCTTTATTAGTCTGACAAATTTGTCATAATTAGTCATCATTTTTATCCTCAGTTGGCTATCACCCAGCTTAGTCAACTCTGATTGCTTTTTCCAAAGTTTAGAGGATTTATTGGCTGTTTCATTGAAAAAGGAACTGCTTTTGAAGAGAACTATTATCTTTGAGGGTGATTTATGCAATATATTTCAGATGCTGGATGTCATATTAAATGATTTAATCTGTTTGGTATTGGCAATTTTTTCTTTTCACCTCATTGCTCAACTTGTAAGACCAATCAATTTCCTCTTCTGGTATTCATTTATCTTCCTTGTTTTTGGGAGCTTTTTGCCTGGAGTAACCACCTTTTACCATTCATTGTAGAAAGCCGCACCAACTAGATTTGAGCTTTTTCATCTCATTTGCAACAATTGCCTTGCTAGACCAAATCTAGAGAAAGTACCACCATATACAAGCCATCTTTGAAAAGGCATGCAATCATATGTACACACATTGGCACCCACCTCATTTACCCAAGAAGTGCGAATTATCACACCCCTTATCAAGGTTATGAGGTACCACCTTTACAGAAAACAGTCTTGTGCCCTGTTTATCGTGTTGGTCCCTTGTACAGGTTGAATTGATTTTCCTACCTGAGAACCCTTGAGGATGCTTTTATCTAGCTTAAGAATATTCTCACCAGTTAGGAAATTAATATCATATCTAAGCCCCTATTCCAGTTCAATTTAGACCTTCATGGATAAAGAATAATTTTCAGTCATCTAAACAGAAATTGATTTTGTAGTCGTAGTAAAATTGCTTAAACCTTTATAATGTAGCTTCTCCTTTTACTTATAAAAAACTGGTGACACATCATTACGGTTGTTGGAACCTTACCCTTTTTTTGGTTTATCTTCCCATTCTTGCAGGAAATTTATGCATGATTTTCCTCCGGTCGCAAGGAGAAAAATAAATTTTCATGCCCTGGTGGGGTATAGTAGGACTTTCTTGAGAGAAAACTTTCAAAGCAGGATATTCTTTATGTATTGTTATTGCTTTTTTTGGTTTTTGTATTTATTATCTAGTTTTATAAATGCTTGATTTTGCTACACTTTGCTATATAATGAATGTTTTTATCTGCCTACTATGCCAGTTAAATAAGACAGACAATTACATAACCACACTTGAAAATAGACAATTACATAACCAAACTGTTGAAGTCAGCATCGACTTTGCGTGGTTAAACACTTTATACAAAAAGAAGTCAACAGAATCATTTGATAAGAAATATTATTCATTTCTTTGGTTGCTAATGCAAGACAAATCTTTGAGAGTCAACTTTAGAAATTGTTTTGTGTTGGACTATCCTAAGTTGTTTAGAATGATCCAAACTGCACACTAACTTTTTCCTATCCTATCCTTTTCCTACACTAGTCTATTAAAATATCAGGAATTTTGTTTGATTTTGGTAAAATTCTTATTTTCCTTATACAGCCTTTTCTGCATCTTCACTTCTTGGACCAAGCAAAAGGTGAGTCTCATGGCTTAAATTTTGTCTCCTAGTGAAAGGATAGTAGTTCCTATCAACAATGCTTTTTGGGGTCACAATGATCACTCAAATAGCAGACCATTTTTTGTTGATTTAAAAGCATTGCAAATTGAGTGTCCTTTATGTTTTTCTTGGCAAACACTCCAGATCATCATGTTCCATTACCAAGTTCTTTATTCACTTTTTTCTAAAAATTTCTTTTTGATAGGGTAGGAAACAAATTTCACTAATATAGCAAAAGAGGTTTCTTTTAAATTGTAATGAATATAATTTGTGATAGAGTGGAGCATTGGCTAGATTTGGAATTGACCACAGTAACTGATTGCCAACAGATTCTTGTTCCATGGGAGGTACAATATCCCCACACACCTTATCATGTTGGCCAAATATTTATTCTGTTCTTGAACTTTTCTCAGTGTCAAATGTATCGTTGATGATGATGGTCAATTTGAGATTACTGCTAATGCTTTAAAGCTGCTAAGAGCAATCAAAGTGGAGGTATGTTCAGTTTTTTGTTTAAATTATGCATAATGTTTTGAATAATCATCATAGATTAAAATTTTTATGTTTTATTCTACCAATTTTTTTTATTTGTAGTTTTTACTTTAATTTCCTTTTTTTGAATTCAAAATTCTAGGTGGCTTGGTTCATTCAAATTTAAATGTGAAAGTTAAAGAGAATAATAATAGCAAAATTCACTTACAAAATCTTGAGTCTTGAAGATCGAGAGTGTCTAGAATTTTGATGGCTCTCCCCCCTCTTACTAATGAAATGAAATACAATGAAACCATCAATTTTTTGCATAATTGCCAAAAATGAGTTAATAAAATTCTATAAATGCTTGATTTTTGTATTAAAGAATTTGTTGGGCATGATTAAGTACTGACGAAAGAGTCTGTAATCTTTGAATCTAGTACAAGGAGCATAAGTTCATGCACATCTTTAGTTACCCTTTGGTATGTGATGGCTTGAGGTTTAGGTTCCAAGCATCCAGTTCAATGTTATCTTTAGGTATCATTGTGTTCTGTACACCAAAGCGTTTACAGCTCTGCCTCTTACTTGTATAACAGTACTGTTAGCCATAGTCTTCATTTAAGTCATTGTTGATGAAGAAGAAATTGCATTTGTCTCACAAAAGTTTTTTGGGGGAATTTTATCAAAATTATAATGATCAAATGGGATGTCATTAAAATCATATAATTCACCATTTTCCTTTAAAGCACCCAGTCATCTCAATTATTCATGATGCATGCAAAGGACTGCATAATACCTTTGGTACATGCTGTTCTACACTCGTCTTTATGATTGGCAGTTGGTTAGAATCACTGGATACTCTAATGCAGGAGGTAACCTTTATTTCTGCTTGTAAACTTTTTGTTTCTAATTGTTGCTAATTTATTTCAATTATTTTAGATAATTTTTAGTGTTTTGTTTTTTTGCATTCTCGTTTGCCTGCACTTGCCTGTTGCTAACTCACTCATAATCTTGGTATTGCAACCGATTTTTTCTAACCGTCAGAACCCCATGGAAGGGTATCAATAACCATTATTTGCTTATTGATGACAAAGAAAATCATTAAGTAATTCTATATATAAGGGGATCACTCATAAAATCAACATTTACACGTTGAGCTCGAAATTATTGAGTTTCATGGTTAGTAGTTTCACACAATTTGTTTCTAGGGTATACCAGTCCCAGTCATTAACCATCTGTTTGACGAGGCTGTTGATTATTGTATACAAGAGGCATTCAAGTCATCAATATATTTGGATGAACTGACTCGACCGATGACAGGAAGGATATCTGATCCCCAAATTAAGATAGTGCCAGCTAGAACCACAGGATTCTCAAAGGATGCTGTTGTGCAGAAACCTGACAAAGCAACGCTGTCACAGGGCTCAAGCATTAGCAACCATAGAAGCCAGCCCTCAAATTTCATTTCTGGATTTCAATCAAGGACTTCGGCGTTTGACAAAAGTCCACGAACAGTTTTCAGCAGCAGATATAGTAGGCACCTGACTGAAGATGCTGTTACTCAGTGTGAGGAAGATCGATTGTTGGCCATTTCAGCTTCAATAGCAAGGATTTGTCATGGTGTTGCACGAAACGATGCTAATGTTGAGCAGATCCTCCTGAAAGTTACGGAAGTTATTAGAAATAGGCAAAACGGATTTATAGAAATAAGGGATCTTGACTTATGTCTCGATGATATTTTTATCGAGATTTGCGATGGTAAACCAGAAGCGCAATCTTCTGTATTTGAAGGTATCTGTGTTGCAGATGTTGTTGATGACTTGAGAAATACGTTAAGCCCTATTGAGAAGAAACCTGTTAAAGTGGGCTTGATAGATTTTGATCAAATGCTTTATTGCAAAAAGAGAGGAAAATCTTCAGACGATACTAATAGGTCAGATAGTTTTAAGAAGAAACTGCATCAGTTGGAAATCTCTTGTATAATATACAGAGGAGAAGATAAAGAATTTCTTGACACATGTCATGCAGTAGGTTTATTGGCGCTGAAAGTCAGCACATTAAGACACCTTAAAGCTTTGTCACTTGCTACTATGAATCCTATAGTATCGTCGATTTATCATCTCGAATCGAGTGACATTGGACTCCCAATTGTTTTGTCCTTAAAGCACTTTACAGATGAATCGTTGAGACAACGCAGAGCAAAAAAGAGATTAAAGTCAGTTATTTCCTTACAATTTCCTGGTTGTAGTCAAAGGTTTATTACGATCTTAGTTTGTGGGACAATACCTGTGGTAACGTCGCTGTTAGAAGAGAGACTCACAAGCTCGCTATGGCGGCTTAGAAATCTTCTTAAAGAAAAGAAATGTATTCACGGAGGTGGAGGTATTGAGAGAAAATGCATTAGCCAATTGAAAGAACATGCAGGTACTGTTGTTTAGCTGGTCTCAATCTGTTCAGAAGATACTAAATCCATATGTAATAAAGCTCGATTAAGCAAATTTTGTAGCAATTCGTGCACGAGCGAGAATCAAAGTGAAAGGGCTTGGAGTATTATTAGGCCTGATTATTGTCTTCTGAAAATAAAAGCAGCTTTAAAATATATCAGCGAATTCACTCGGAAGATTGTTTTTTACTCGAAAGACTGTCAGACGAAAAGCTTTAGTAACATGTTTCAAAATTTGACTTGAGTACTTTAAACTGCATTTACTTGATTATACTATTAAATTTTTGAAAAATTGTTCCCAACCGGTTCACTGCTTTCGCATGTAGCCGGAAAGACATGTTAGGATATTATCACAAGTAGCATATTTTTTTCATTTTGATTCAGAACGAAGTCAACGTGCAACTTCCAACAACCGTAGCAGTCTACCCAGATTTTTGGTTAACGAACTAAACATATATAGGCCCATTGTATTTACTGAATTATCCAAAGGCCTGGAGAGATATTGCTCAAACATATCACGAAATATTGCCGAGGCTGGCGCAACCAAAGCAACCGCCATCGATGATTTAGGATCAAAGTGTGAGGCCTGGAAACGAGCTATAAATGTTGTAAACGTCATATCTCGAATCGACATGGTGGTTACAAATGGCGTAGAGTAAAAGTGTTTAAATCAGCCTGTACGCGGTCGAGCCTTGAGGAATGCAGAATCATTTCAGAGTCAAAAAGAGATAAAGGTGCGTTGTTTTTTCTTTATTTTCTCATCCACTTATTTGCTTTTATTATTGGGCGTTATCTAATCGGGGTATTTTAAGAAACCAAGATGTGGGAGTTAATTAACTTTAAATTAAGAAAATTGAATTTTTCAACTAGGTAAAGGTCATGGTTGGTTGTCTTGTTTGATGTTTCAACTGTAGGGGAGAACTCGAATCAGTGACATCAGAATAGAATCAGCTGAAAGAGTGAGCAATTGTTGGGTTTTAGCACGATCCTGATCAGAGAATGTGAAGAGCAGACAGTACAAGTTGAAAAGCTAAAACACGGAGAGAAACTAAGGCAAGTAACCAGTTCAGAATATGTTGTTAATTTTCAAATTTCAAAAAAAAATTTAAAGTCGTTTGGAAGATTTTAAAATAGAAGCAAGCATCATATGATTTTTGTGTCACTCCTAATTGATCTGCGATGAAAATAGCAGTGGTTTTGCTAAACAGAAAATGACATGGAATTGATCCAAGTGACCACAAAAAGAGGTCTGTTCTAATCCACGGAATTCGAACTTTGACAGGAGCTTAAGACAGGAGCTTTGGTTCTGTTAATGCAGATAAATTTAGTCGTTTATAACAAAATTATATTGACAAGCAGAGATTTATCAATTTTTAAACTTCTGAAGATGCAATTTTTGAAGATTTTCATAAATTAACATGTACATTTGTATATAAAGTTTTCTAAAACCTCTCTGTTATGATATAAATTTAAAACCAAATAATTTTTAAACGATATAGAAAAAAGTCATTTGATTGTTTTTTTATCGAGATCTTCTTAGCCCTTTTGAGTAAATGATTGTCTTTGTAAAGATATACGCCTTTACTTTTTGTGAAAAGTTGAGACTCGGTCTTATCTAAACATGCAATTTTCATCAGCTCTGTAGCACATTCAACACTTAAAACCATTTTCAGAGCTGTTTAGAACCATTTCAAAGTGTTTCTAAGACAAAACTTTGACCTTCAAAATTGACAATATTTCTAAGGCTATAGGCTTTGATTTTGGTGAAAATATATTCCTTGGTTTTTTTAAAAAACATGACATTTCCATTGACTTTCTAACCTTTATAACCCTTTTAAACCATATTCACAGCTGTTAAGGGACATTTTCAAGTGTTTATGAGAAAAAACTTTGAGCTTAAAAAATGACGAATTTTCTAAGGTTATAGGCTTTGATTTTGTTAAAAGATGTTACTCGGTTTTTTGAGTTAAATATGCTACTCACATTAATATTCTTACCTGTAGAACACATCGAAATAATATTCAGAGCTGTTAAGGGCTTTTTGAAGTGTTTTTGAAAAAAACTTTGACCCTAAAAAATGACGAATTTTCTAAGGCTATAGGCTTTGATTTTGCAAGAAAATGTTACTCGATTTTTTAAGGTAAATATGCTACTCACATTAATATCCTTACCTGTAGAACACATTGAAATAATATTCAGAGCTGTTAAGGGCTATTTTCAAGTGTTTCTGATAAAAAACTTTGGACCCTAAAAAATGACGAATTTTCTAAGGCTATAGGCTTTGATTTTGCAAAAAAATGTTACTCGATTTTTTAAGGTAAATATGCTACTCACATTAATATCCTTATCTGAAGAACACATTGAAATAATATTTAGAGCTGTTAAGGGCTATTTTCAAGTGTTTTTGAAAAAAGCTTTGACCCTAAAAAATGACGAATTTTCTAAGGCTTTAGGCTTTGATTTTGCAAAAAAATGTTACTCCATTTTTTAAGGTAAATATGCTACTCACATGAATATCCTTACCTGAAGAACACATTGAACATAATATTCAGAGCTGTTAAGGGCTATTTTCAACTGTGTCTGAAAAAAATTTTAACCCTAAAAAAAGACGAATTTTCTAGGGCTTTAGGCTTTGATTTTGCAAGAAAATGTTACTCGATTTTTTAAGGTTAATATGCTACTCACATGAATATCCTTACCTGTAGAACACATTGAAATAATATTCAGCGCTGTTAAGGGATTTTTTCAACTGTTTCTGAAAAAACTTTGGCCCGAAAAAATGACGAATTTTTTAAGGCTATAGGCTTTGATTTTGCAAAAAAATGTTACTCGATTTTTTAATGTAAATATGCTACTCACATTAATATCCTTACCTGTAGAACACATTGAAATAATATTCAGCGCTGTTAAGGGCTATTTTCAAGTGTTTTTGAAAAAAACTTTGACCCTAAAAAATGACGATTTTTCTAAGGCTATAGGCTTTGATTTTGTTAAAAAATGTTACTCGGTTTTTTAAGGTAAATATGCTACTCACATTAATATCTTTACCTGTAGAACACATTGAAATAATATTCAGAGCTGTTAAGGGCTTTTTTCAACTGATTCTGAAAAAAACTTTGGCCCGAAAAAATGACGAATTTTTTAAGGCTATAGGCTTTGATTTTGCAAAAAAATGTTACTCCATTTTTTAAGGTAAATATGCTACTCACATGAATATCCTTACCTGAAGAACACATTGAACATAATATTCAGAGCTGTTAAGGGCTATTTTCAACTGTGTCTGAAAAAAATTTTAACCCTAAAAAAAGACGAATTTTCTAGGGCTATAGGCTTTGATTTTGCAAGAAAATGTTACTCGATTTTTAAGGTAAATATGCTACTCACATTAATATCCTTATCTGAAGAACACATTGAAATAATATTTAGAGCTGTTAAGGGCTATTTTCAAGTGTTTTTGAAAAAAGCTTTGACCCTAAAAAATGACGAATTTTCTAAGGCTTTCGGCTTTGATTTTGCAAAAAAATGTTACTCGATTTTTTAAGGTAAATATGCTACTCACATTTATATCCTTACCTGAAGAACACATTGAAATAATATTCAGAGCTGTGAAGGACTATTTTCAAGTGTTTTTGAAAAAAACTTTGACCCCAAAAAAATGACGAATTTTCTAAGGCTATAGGCTTTGATTTTGCAAGAAAATGTTACTCGATTTTTTAAGGTAAATATGCTACTCACATTTATATCCTTACCTGAAGAACACATTGAAATAATATTCAGAGCTGTAAAGGACTATTTTCAAGTGTTTTTGAAAAAAACTTTGACCCCAAAAAAATGACGAATTTTCTAAGGCTATAGGCTTTGATTTTGCAAGAAAATGTTACTCGATTTTTTAAGGTAAATATGCTACTCACATGAATATCCTTACCTGTAGAACACATTGAAATAATATTCAGCGCTGTTAAGGGATTTTTTCAACTGTTTCTGAAAAAACTTTGGCCCGAAAAAATGACGAATTTTTTAAGGCTATAGGCTTTGATTTTGCAAAAAAATGTTACTCGATTTTTTAATGTAAATATGCTACTCACATTAATATCCTTACCTGTAGAACACATTGAAATAATATTCAGCGCTGTTAAGGGCTATTTTCAAGTGTTTTTGAAAAAAACTTTGACCCTAAAAAATGACGATTTTTCTAAGGCTATAGGCTTTGATTTTGTTAAAAAATGTTACTCGGTTTTTTAAGGTAAATATGCTACTCACATGAATATCCTTACCTGAAGAACACATTGAACATAATATTCAGAGCTGTTAAGGGCTATTTTCAACTGTGTCTGAAAAAAATTTTAACCCTAAAAAAAGACGAATTTTCTAGGGCTATAGGCTTTGATTTTGCAAGAAAATGTTACTCGATTTTTTAAGGTAAATATGCTACTCACATTAATATCCTTATCTGAAGAACACATTGAAATAATATTTAGAGCTGTTAAGGGCTATTTTCAAGTGTTTTTGAAAAAAGCTTTGACCCTAAAAAATGACGAATTTTCTAAGGCTTTCGGCTTTGATTTTGCAAAAAAATGTTACTCGATTTTTTAAGGTAAATATGCTACTCACATTTATATCCTTACCTGAAGAACACATTGAAATAATATTCAGAGCTGTGAAGGACTATTTTCAAGTGTTTTTGAAAAAAACTTTGACCCCAAAAAAATAGAGGAGAGGATATTACCTTAGAAGATTCAGGAGTAAAATCTTTCACGTTTGCAAATATCAATGGAGCTTTATAAGGCCTTAGAAAATTCGTCATTTTTTTGGGTTAACACTTTTCAATAACAGTTGATAAATGCCCTTGAACAGCGCTGACATAATCATTTTCAAATTGTGTTCTACAAGTAAGCCGATATTAGTGAGTAGCATTTTACATTTTTGAATATATTAGAAGTTTAAATCTAAATTCTTGGCAAAATCAACAGGCCTAGTTTAGCCTTTAGAAAATTTCGTCACTCATTTTTGGAGGATTTTAAAACTTTTTTTTATCGTTGAAAATAGCCTTAAACGGCTTGATTTTATTTTACAATGTTGCTAACAGAGGTAGGATTATATTTTATATGTGAGTTAGCATATTTACACCTTTTAAACTACAAATCGAGTAAAAATTTGCTTGGTAAGAAAATTCCATACGTCTCTTTAGCCCTTAGTGCTTAAAATTCGTCATTTGTGTGGGTCTTATGCTTGTTTTATATTGATTAACCTTGTTTAGCCCTTAACAATCTCTTGTATTTATTAGTATCTGTGTTTTTCAAGGTGCGTTTTTTAATGTTGGTGCCTGGATTAACCCGTTAAAAATTTCGAGTAAATATTTTCCTTTGGCAAAATCAAAGCCTATTATGCCTTGAGAATTTCGTCACTTTATTTTGGGGGTTAAAAACTTTTTTCAATAAGATTACCGCCCTTCTGAAATAGACTTTAGGAACAGCGCTGATTATTATTTCCAATTGTGTTACTAACAGGTAACGATGGATAATTTATATTTGTGAGTAGCATATTTACATCTATTTAAATTCCCAAATTCGAGTAACATTTTTTTGCAGATATCAAAAGCACCTATTAGGCCTTAAAAAATTCGTACTTTTTCGGGCCACAGTTTGTTATCAAGAAACAGGGTTGAAAAATCCCTGGTAATTTTACAGCGCTGAATATTATTTCAATGTGTTCCTTTTTACCAGGTAGGGAAGTTATACTCTTCATGTTGAGTCAGGTCATATTTACGGCTTATAATACCAATCGAGTGGGAACATTTCTTTGCAAAATCAAAGCTATAGGGCTCGTAGATTTTAACTTCGTTCATTTATTTTTTTGA